AAATAAAATTTAAAATGCAGAAGGTTAATTCTGTCAAGGTATACCAAAATCTTCCTAAAGGTGATGTCTCTCAAAGTAACACCTTGCTATGCTTTTTCCACATTCATTTTTCGAATGGTCAAAGCAAGAATTATTCATAGTGCAAAGGAAAGTCTTCAAGAATGCCTCATTTCAATTTCCAACTCATCCTTGTGTTTATCTTCTTGATTTCAAAAGAAAATTCCACTTCAGACGAACCCGACTATGACCAGATGGTAAACACCTGGAAAGTAGATCCTGTATTTCCCTGAGTGACTGAATGTTAAGTGTTCAATTAACTAATTAAAATATTGGTTTCCTAAGGATTTCCCTCTCTTATGGGCTTGACAATATACTGGATGGGAAAGAAGACACAAGACACGTAATGAAGCCTAAGCTTTCTTCCTATCCCTTCCAGGAATCCACAAGGTAAAACTTCTCCTTCATCCGTGTAATTTTGGGAAAAAAAATTCCTTTTTCCATTGTATTCATCTCTCACTCTTGTCATGTGGTCTTCTTGCTGGTCCATATTACTAGACTCTCTACATGTACAAAGATAAATTTTACATTAAGTCATAGACTATTTGTCTGGCTATAATACTAGACTGTAAGCATTTTCAAAATTGTTGTTTTAAATTATGTATTTAAATATATCCCAATTCACCCAAAAAAGGTTTGAAACTTCTCACCCTCCTAAGTCTTTTGTGTACCTGATTTAATCAAGCATATAAAATACTGACCCCAGCCCTGTGGGGTTTGAAAACATGAAGAACATGGCGTCCCTGCCCTTTAGGAACTAACAATCCAGTGGAATAAATAGACATGAACATAAACCACCCTGAAGAGACAGACTCTGATAACTGATACTGCAGATCTACAGGTGAAGTATGCACTATGAGAGTTCTAGGAAAAAAAGAGCCATACAAGTCAGCTAAAAAGTACGGTCATTCTACTTCTACAACCCCAGGACTGATTCATCTCAATGTCCCACACATTCTGCAACAGAATACAAATATTCATATTTATACCCCATATCATGCCCTTTGCCATCAAGCCGATTCCAACTCAGAGGGACCCTATAGAACAGAGCAGAACTGCCCCATAGGGTTTCCAAGGAACGGCTGGTAGATTCGAATTGCTGACCTTTTGGTTAGCAGCTGAGTTCTTAACCACTGTGCCACCAGGGCTCCTTCATGTTTATAAGTTACCAAAAAAAAAAAAAGTTATACTGTAGAGTTGATTCTGATTTATGGTGACCATATGTGTGTCAGAGTAGACCGGTGCTCCAAAGAATTTTCAATGGCTGATTTTTCAGAAGTAGATGGCCAGGACTTTCTTCCAAGCCACCTCTGGGCGGACTCAAAATGCCAACCTTTCGGTTAGCAGCCAAGCCTGTTAACTTTTGCACCACTCTAGGACTCCATACTAAAGTTAGAAAGTATATAATACAGTTTTTAAGATTACAATATAATTAGGTTGAAACCAAATTATTTTTTAACTTAGTTTTTTATCTTTCAGACGTCCACAAAGTTTATTTAGACAGATCACTTTATTCCCCTAGGACTCTGAATAAGCTGAGCATGGCTGTAAATTCAAACTCTTTTGCTTTCTATTTTAATTCTTTTGAATATTATATCTTCACATAAAAATTATCAGCAAAATTACATATATTGCCTAACAACTGTCATGAAAATTACAGCCTAGAAAACTATATGAGGCAGTTCTACTCTGTCACATTGAGTCACTCTGAGTCAAAGTTCAACTCAATGGCACCTAACAACAACAATACAATTTTGGCCATATAGTAGGAGGCACTCAATTTTGCTGATATGTATACAGTTTCAAATAACTCAATAAGTATTCATTGCACACAATTCAGTGCAATGCAGATGATATTGAGAAGGACATTGTATCTCATTTCTAATGAAAAAAATGAAACATCCTAAATACTCATCAATAGGAAAATAGTTGAATACATTATCATACATAAATGCAAAATACAGTGCTGTCATTAAAAAAATTGAAGTAGATCTATACACACTTATCTAGAAAGTTATCTGCAAGTTTCAACTTCTAGCCAAGATGGAAGTAACAAGTTCTGGATTTCTCCCCCACCCCAACCCGAAAACAATTTTTAAAAATACTGATTAAATATATTAAATATATGAAACAATGTTCATAACTTTGAACATCAGGCAATGAAGAAATGTGATCCCTGAGAGACAGATAACAAATGAGGTGAGCCCTTTGACCTTGCCGCCTGGACAGCATTTCCAGGGTCCACTGCGGAGTAACCGAGGTGAAGCTGTTAGTTCCTCTGAGTTAAGAAGGCAAAGCTGGGAACCAGGGATGCCAAGGCAGCCGGAGTCTGTAGGGCAGAGTACCATAAAAGAAAGAGATACACAGAAAGAGAGTCCTGGAGATCTGCAGAGGGTCCTCCACAAGTCTTCAGCTGAGTACTGACCAGCACATAATTGTCTACATAGAAAATCCAACGAGAAATAATGAGTTTAGCAAAGTTACATGATCAAGATACAAGATTAATATGTAAGAATTACATGTATTTCTATATACTAGCAACAATTAGAAACTGAAATTAATAATTTTAAAATAGCACCAAAAATTTGAAATACTTAAGGATAAATTTGTCAACAGATGGGAAAGACCTGTACCCTGTAAACTACAAAACATTACTGAAAGAAATTAAAGAAGCCCTAAATAACTCCATGTTCATGAGTTGGAAGACTCAGTATTAAGACTTCAGTTCTCCCCAAATTGATTTATACAGCATGTTGCAAGCAATCACAATCAAAATCTTAGCAGACTTTTTTGTAGAAACTGACTCCAGAATTTATATGGAAATGCAGAAGACCTGGAATAGCCAAAACAACTTTTAAAAAGAAAAATAAAGTTGGAAGATTATTACTACCTGATTTCAAGACTTATTATAAAGTTACAGTTTATAATACAATGTGTTACTGCCATAAAGGCAGACAAATCAATGGAAGAGATTACAGAACCCAGAAATAGATCTACACATATATGGACAACTGAATTTTTTATAATACTTTGTTGTGTTTTTGGTAAAAGTTTACACAGCAAATTAGGTTCCCATTTAACAATTTCTATACATATTGTTCAGTGACGTTGGTGACATTTTTCACAATGTGTCAACGTTCTCCGTATTTCCATTCTAGTTGTTTTGTTTCCACTAATCTAGCTTCTATCCCCCCTTGCTTACTTTCTCATCTTTGCTTTAGAGTAACTGTTGACTCTTTGCTCTCATATAGATGATTTTTTTAAAGAGCTCAGTACCCACTTGTGATATTGTTTATGAATCAATTTGTTATTTAGCTGAAAGGTGACATCTGAGAGTGGCTTCAGTTCCATGTTTAAAGGGCATCTCAGGGTGATAGTCTCAGGGGTTCCTGTAGTAACTACTGGTCCAATAAGTCTGGCCTTTTTTAAGAATTTGAGTTTTGTTCTTAATTTTCCTCCCATTCTATCCAGGATCATCTTTGTGTCCCTGGTCAGAACTGTCTGTAGTGGTAGCCAGGCATCATCTAGTTCTTCTGGGCTCAGGATAGATGAGGCCATGGTGTGTATGGGCTATCAGTTGGACAACTGAAATTTGACAAAGGTACAAAGGCAATTAAGCGGAGAAAGGATAGTCTTTTTCAGTAAATGGTGCCAGAACAATTGGATAGTTATATGAAAAATACATAAAAAACGATCAATATCTCATACCTTATACAAAAATTAACACAAAATGAATTGCAGACCTAAATATAAAACCTAAAACTATAAAACTTATAGAGTAAAACATAAGAGGAACACTTTGTGGTTGTGGTTTGGCAAAGCTTTCTTATATACGACATACAAAGCAGAATCCATAAAAGAACAAACTGATAAATTGGATTTCATCAAAATTATAAACTTCTGCTCTTCAAAACACATTATTAAGAATGAAAAAACCAGTCACAAACTGGGAACAACTATGTACAGATTATATGTCTAATAAAAGACATATACAGAAAATGTAAAGAACTCTTAAAACAATAATAAGAACCAAAAAACAGAATGTTTTTAACGGGCAAAAGATTTGAATAGACTCTTCACCAAAGAATATCTACGAATGGTAAAAAACACATGAAAAGATGCTCAAATGTATTTGGTCATTAGGAAAACACAAGACAAAACCACAATGAGATACCACTACAAACCTATTAGAATAGCTAAAATTTAAAAATCTGATCACAAGTGTTAGTAAGGATGTGGAAGAACTGAAACTCACACACACTGCTAGTGGGAATGTAAAATGGTACAACCACTTTGGAAAATAGTTTGGCAGTTTCTTAGAAAGTTAAACCTATGCATACCACATAATCCAGCTAATCCACTTCTAGGTATTTGCCCAAAAGAAAGGAGTGCTCTGTCCTTTCAAAAGCTTGTACAGGAATGTTCATAGCAGCTTTAGTTGCAATAGTTAAGAAATGGAAACAACCCAAATGTCCATCAACAGGTAAATAAATAGTCGTATCTCCACTACTACTGACCATTATTCAACAGTTTTTTAAATGCAATAGTAATGCATACAACAACATGGATGTATATCAAAATAATTATGCTGAATGAAAGAAGCCAGATGAAAAGTGAGTGCATACTGTCTAATTCCATTTTCATGAAATTCTAGAAAATGCAAACTAATCTTAAATGACAAAAAGTAAATCTGTGGTTATCTGGGAAGGGGAGAAAGAGAGGGACAAAAACAGGAATTACAAACGGACACAAGGAAGAGTACCGACTCATAGCAACCCACGTGGCAGAGTAGAACTGCCTCATAGGGCTTCTAGGCTATAATATTTATGGGAGCAGATCGTCAAGTCTTTTCTCTCTTGGTTCAAACCACCAACAGTTCAGCAAGCAGCTGAGCCCTTAACCACTGGGCCACCAGGGCTCCTTTCACAGATGCATGCATACGTCAAAATGTATCAGGTTATGTGCAGTTTTATTTTATGGCCATTTTACCTCAATCAAGCTGTAAAAAAACATAAATAAATATTAAAGCCTCAACACAGAACAAAAGGATCAGCATCATACGGCTCTTCTAGGCCTCACACTTACATTGGCAGCAGTAGCTACCAACTTATTAAAAGCCTCCCATCCAGCAGGCAGTGTGTGAGGAGCTGCCATTTAATCTTCACAACCAACCACCTGCCATCTCTTCTCTCCTAGAAGATTTCCTGGACTCTCCTTTATGCCACCACTAGATTTTACACACACTTCTGCGATAGCATTCATCATTCTCAACTGCAATTATTTTTTTATATGCCGAAGTTCGCTGAGAACAGTATTATGCTTGTTTACCTTTATATCCCCAGGGCCTAGCATGATGGCCGAAAAATGAATCTCTAAACCAGAGAATAAATTGTTAGAATCTGTGCGGAGATTTTCTTGTGAAGGTGCATACATTCTAGCTGGCGGGCTTACAGTGTTGTAAAATGTCTTTTTTTCTCTTGGACCCCCACAATACAAACTCTGCCAAAACAATTTTAAAAGCTGAAGAACAAACTAAATCAGAATTTAAGAGGTCGTATTTTAAAACTCATACTCCAGAGATTTTTCACAAAGCTTCTGCTGGGGAAAAAAAAAATTAACTTCTGACTCTGTTGATACCACAGTGTTCAAACCACAACTTTGTTTGAAAAACCGTATTTGATACTAGGTTGCTAAACAGTCTTTTTCTTTTTTCTGTAAAAGTGCCTTAAGCGGTTACCACAAAGCTCAGGCAATTTTTTCAGTCAGAAGATTGCTGAGAGATGTGGTTAAACTGTGAGATGAAGAACAGAGAGCTGACAGCCTGCACAGCAGTTGGTAAGTAATGAAAACACCGAGAACCAAGGTAGAATGTCCAAAGAGAAGCTGGAGAAGGGCTCTCAGCTTAGAAATGGGAGGAGTGATTTGCCTTGTTACCTAAAAGTACATTTGCCATGTTTGTGCTGTATCAATTGAATTCAGTTCAATAAACACTTCTCCAAGGGTCAGACTTGCTCTTCACAAAACAGGCAAAGAAAATTTTCACAGCACCAAGCCACGAAGGCCAGTGTCTCGGACAAGGAGAGACCATCTTCTGAAAGATTGTTCTATACTTATTTTGTGTGGTAACATACTTGTTTTATAGTTTTCAAGGTGTTTTCACAGGCTTCATTTCAAATGATCTTAACTACAAAGTAATGATGAAGATGAGGGCGGTTTTAGTACCCTATTTTACAGGGAGTTGGAGAGGTTCAGCATCATCCCCGGTGTCATATTGTTAAGACAGCGATTGATCCTGAAATTGAAACGGGTCTGATTAAGCCTATACTCTTCCCAATGTCTTCAACTTTATTCTGATTGACCTTCAAGAAACATAAGGATGTCATCTTCTCCCAATCTGAAAAATAGAAAAATCCCTTGCCTAATACCTTCAGCCTTCTGCCCTATCTCCCTCTCCTCTCCTTTCCACCCAGCTTCTTTAAGGAATTCCTCATGATAAGCTCATCCCTGCAATCTGGGCTCCAGCCTCACCACTCATGAAACTGCTCTCTTGAAAATCACCAATAATTGCTAAATCCATTTACCTTCCTCAGGCCTCATCCTCCCAGTATTCGGCACTGTTAAACAAAAGTTCATTTTTTCTAAAATCTCAAAACCTGCTAGAGCATCAGCAGATAGAAGCTTTGGCAAATGGAATTATTTGGGAACTTTTTAGTCTTTGACAATAATAGTAAATTATTTTTTAAATTTCCTTATTAATGGTCTTCTGTTATCTAAGTTAATGCTAGATAATTTCAGATATTTGGTCTCACCTCGTTTTCACAATAATCCTGTGAAGCGGATATTGTCACCTCTATTTTACATCTGAGAAAAGTTAGGTTCGGAGAAATTGAAAAAATGTATCCAATTTATCAAAGTTAATAAGAGGCCCTGGTCTCCTGATCATACTGCTCTTTTCACTACATCACACCGCATCTCCCTTCCATTAACCTGGCACTGATAGGGAATGGGATGTTTCACATAAGTTCATTTTCTAAATGCATAAAGTTTACTACTAAAACAAAAATTTGAAACAAAGGATTTTTAAGTCATTTTTCCTGCAAACTTTCAAAAAATATGTTCTTAAACATAGATTATCAATATAATTTAACATTTCCTTAATAGAATCATACCATGAACATATATTAATATATTCTGTGCAGTAATAAACCTCTACGCCCACTATTTTATATTCCTTCTTTCTCATTCAGCATGAGACTTTTGTTAACTCCTGCTGACATTTTGGCTTTTTATAATTATTTCATACTACTCTTCTACACTGGTGTTTCAAAAACTACTACATGGTAAAGAAAATAAGCAGAATATTAAGAACTACTTGAAAACCACAAGTCAAATCATTTCTGTGTGAGAATATCAAGAGCACTGTGTTTGCCTTTGGCTACACATTGCCATCAAGTCAATTCTGACTCATAGTGACCCCATGTGACAGAGTAGAACTGCCCCGTAGGGTTTCCTAGGCTGTAATCTTTACAGAAGCAGACTGCCACATCTCTCTCCTGCGGAGTGGCTGGTGGGTCAAACTGCCAGCCTTCGGTTAGCAGCCTAGCACTTAACCACTGTGCTATCAGGGCGCCTTACCTTTTATTGCCCTGTTCAGTGTTCCTCCAGGCATTAACAGGTATTCCATTAAGAAAGGATTGCATGGATAAATGCATTTGCAAAAACACTGCATACTATCCTCAGTCTTGGATATTCACAAGGCATTTTGTTTTTATTAACTGGGAAAAATACCCTAGTACTTCCCAAACTTACTTGACTGCAGGACCCTTTCTTATTTCACAAAGTCCATGTGGGAAAAGCTCTTCTGTAAGTATGAGGCTGCTACAAGACCAACTTCTGGATATAAAGGATATATGAAATTCAAGTAATAAAGAATACTTTTAATTTTATGTTCTTTCTGAGGAAAAAAAATAAGCTTCACTACCAACACAATTAAAAACTTTTATGAGAACATAAAAATAGCTGCCATATTCAAGTAACATTTTTTCGTTGTTCTAATAAATGAATTTTATAAGATTTTTTCATACTTTGTTCATTCTGTTGGTCTTTATATTTATAGTTATTTATAACTATCTATCTAGCTAAACCAAACCCGTTGCCATCCAGTCGATTCCCACTCACAGCGACCCTATAGGACAGAGTAGAACTGCCCCATAGTTTTGAAGGAGCAGCTGGTGGATTCAAACTGCCAACCTTTTGGTTAGCTGCCGCAGCAGCTCTTAATCACTACACCATCAGTGTTTTAGATAATAGAGATAGATGTAGATAAAGGGTTTTTGTCTTACTCTCTTGGGCATAGAGTCCAACAGATAGCTTAGAAACAATAAATGCTAGCTATGAATTTATATTAAATATCATTGAATAACAAATATTAGAAAAACAATGAAAACAGGATAATAACATTTTCTAGATGTAAAATTTTTGCCAGTTCACAGTATTTCCACCATGTCTTTCAACATTCGCCGTTATCATGCCGTGATTACTACAAACTTCAGGGACCTAAATAACCATGATAGTACTAGTGTGGGTAACAACATCAAATAAATTGGAATGTTGGCTTTCCAACAGGACAACTCTTTAGACCTGATCTAAATTATTTTTAACGAAGTGCAAGAATTAAAAAATAAATAAAAATCAAACAAACATGTTACCGCAGTAACGCGGTTTGGAGCCACCTGCCGCAATAGCCAATTCTGAGACAGGGGTGAAGTGAGCAGCAAGATGTGTATATCGATATATAGGAGAGAGAGGGCAATAGATTCCTCAAAAAAACCCGTCTCCCCCACTGAAGATCGGCTGAAGTCTTTTATAGGGACAGGATTATGGATCTTTTGTGGTAGTTTCTCCTTGAGGTGATGATGTCTTACATGAGTTAACCTTCTACTGGTGTTCTTAGAGGTTATCTGGTGACATCCTTGGGGATTATCTGGCGACATCCTGCTTTTTCTTGTCACAAGTTGGGTGCTTTGTTTGGTTTTTCAGTCTTAGATCATTATCACTTGTTTTCCACCCTCCAGGGAGGAACATCGGTTAATCTTAAACCTTTTTGTAGAGACTAGAACGGGAGGGAAAAATCACGAGACAATGTGGCAGTTAGCAATGGCGAGTAAATAATAGTGAGCCAGGCCTGTGCAGCCTCTTCCAAACACAGTAGGCAGGAGGGGGAGGGGAGATGAGAATGGAAGAAATGTATAATTTCATCCAAGAAGAATTTTGATGCTAAAGGATCCTTAGGTGGATAGACCAATGCCAGATAAAGAAAACAGACTCAGAGAGGTTAGAAATGTCCTAAAGTCAAACAATTAATAAGGAACAAAGCCAGGACTAGAACCCAAATCCCTGGGCAGCCAATCTTTCGATGTAGGTTTCACTCTACCTAGATACCACAGTAGTTCATTGGCATAAAATTAGAGTTCATTTATGTTCTGTAGAGTGAAAAGGACCTAAATACACACACACACACACACACATAAAGAATACAGCAGAAGTCCTCTTGTTTCATGCTATTGTGCACAGCAAATGAGTCATTAAAAAAAAGATACCAAAATTAAGTAATATTATGCATTTCAGTTTGGCTTCTTTTAAGCGGAGTAAGAACATATTACCTACGTAGCAACAACTTACAGAGCACTGTTCTAAATGATTTTCAGACATTAACTCATTTAACCATGTAACAACCTAATGACATTAGTCATCTATATTATCCCTATGAGGAAACCGAGGCACTGGGAGTCAACCAGCTGGCAAGTGGGTGAAGACAGATTTCTATCCAGGTAGATCTGGCTCCAGAGTACATGGCCTTATCCTCACTGTGATGCTGTGCCATCCAAACTAACCCAAAGTGCAGAAGCCTTCAATATTTTTTTCAATCCTCTTGAAATCCTCTGCTTTCAGTCTTCTCCTTCTCTCATCCACATCTATTTGAACAGTAATATTTTTTTTATTGTGCTTTAGATGAAGGTTTACAGAGTAAATTAGTTTCTAGTTAAACAATTAATACACACATTATTTTGTGACATTGGTTGCCAACCCCACGATGTGTCAGCACTCTCCCCTTCTCGACCTTGGGTTCCCCATTACCAGCTTTCCTGTCCCCTCCTGCCTTCTGGTCCTTGGTGGTGTGCCCATTTAGTCTCATTTTGTTTTATGGGCCTGTCTAATCTTTGGCTGAAGAGTGAACCTCAGGAGTGACTTCAGTACTGAGTTAAAAGGGTCTCCCGGGACCATACTCTCAGGGTTTCTCCAGTCTCTGTCAGACTAGCAGTCTGGTCTTTTGTGTGTGTGTGTGAGTTAGAATTTTGTTCTACATTTTTCTTCAACTCAGTCCGGCATCCTCTATTGTGATCCCTTTCAGAGCAGTCGCTGGTGGTAGCCGGGCACCATCTAATTGTGCTGGATTCAGTCTGGTGGCGGTGGAGGCTGTGGTAGTTGTGGTCCATTAGTCCTTTGAACTAATCTTTCCCTTGTGTCTTTGGTCTTCTTCATTCTCCCTTGCTCTAGACAGGGTTGGACCAGTGGAGTATGTTAGATGGCCACTCACAAGCTTTTAAGACCCCAGAATGAACGGCAATATTTTTTAACAATTGAATTTTATTGCATTTCTACATATCATTCAACTTTTCATGGAAACAGTATTCTCTTTCTTTTTGCATTTATATTTTATCAGTTTATGTAATATTTAAATATATGTATAACAAAGGTACAACTAGAATACATAGGTTTAGGGGAGATGTAAGCAGACAGTTCAAATGGGGAAAGCAAAATTATCACAGCTTACT